GGGGGGTTTCACGGGGAGCGCGGTGCATTGAGGAGCCTAGCCTTGGGGCAGCAGAGAGTAAATCCGGCCCTGCCAGCACAGCACAGAGTATTTCAAGAGAGGAGAGTTGGAAAGAGAAAAGTGTAGGAGGAAGGAGCCGAGTCTTCCAGCAGTGCAGAGTATTTCAGGAGAGCGTGTAAAGGTGCCCATACACCTTACGACCATCGCAAGACTTTTGTCTTGCGATGGTCGTAAGCTTATTAAAAGCATGTACGCTTGGGGGCGGGCTTCCGATGACCGCAGTGAGGGTCGGGCTTGCAATCACTGCATATGGGGAGTGTGCATGTGCGCACTCCGGCCCGTTCGGCAGTTGTCGAACAAGTTGTCGAACCCGGGTTTTCAAGCCTGCTTGTTCGCCAGAAGACGTGTGACCGTACAGTAGAAACGGTTGCACGCCTTCCAGACACTGCACGATTCTCGTACGATCGCGGGATTTCCCGCGATTCTCGTACGCGAATCGTACAGTGTATGGGCACCTTTTTAGAATAAGAGGAAGGAGCAGAGTCCTTGTGCACGACAGATGTTGATCATCCTTATTTACAGTAAATGGTTTGTATTATAAATATTCAGAATCAGTGTATTTTAGTTTTGTTCTACAGTTGTAAATTTGATCTCTGTGTTGCATAGTGCGCAGGATCTCCGGGACCACCATGAATATCACATCCGGAAGTCTGGAGGCGTTCGGCGGTGAGATTTCCCGAGATCTGTAAGTCAAATGGTCCCTTCCTATAAATGGACATTGTAAATGTATGATGCTATGAAAGTATATTGGATAGCGAAGCCAGAATCTCATTCAGTAATGGTAAATAATGATGAATACTGGTTCGGAAGTCGTATGTTCTGTGTGGATTGATGTACGTGAGAAGTACATTACAAGTGAATGAACCAAACTGTGTACAATTACATCTCTCCCAGACCAGCCCAATTGGAGGATTCCCGGAAATTGGGCAAATTTCAATTACTACGTTACTATTTGTACCTCCAGTCATAGAGCTGTTGCCAAAGCAAGAGGTGCGGCAGTGAGTTTTTTGCACCATGGTGGAAGTAGGCTTAT